ATAGTCTTTTAATCTTAATGTTAAGGACAGGTATCGTTTCAAAAATTATAAGTTTAGCTAGTAGCTTAAGAATTTCTATTTTTAAGTAGCCGTTAAACTTTCAGAGGGCGTCGGCGAACAGTCGACAGACCATGACACGTCACGTATTGTCGACACGTTTTTATTAATTAAATCATCACTTATCTACAAAATAATGAGTGTCTAATATAGATGGTAATGTCCCATTTAATATCACAGCAAATAACGAATCAGAAAGTCGTATTCATGAACTTACATTACGCGAACATAAATTTCTCAGGTTCGTAGAATGACCCACCTCCGCAACTCCCGCCGACCACCCACACCGCACAGCTTGGGCCATTCACGTAGTTTGTCGAAATTGTCGACATGTACCAATTCGTAACAAGAAGGTCAAATACGGTGACAGTACAGTGACAGGTGACGGGATATACGGGACGTAGGGCAACTCTACCTATATATTATATCTACTGTCGGTTAGATTATTTAATACAATACTTTTTAATTTGGATGCTTGTCGGTAAACAATTTATGTATGTAAACAGTAAATGACTTTCACGATACAGAAGGAAATCTTAGAAAGCTCGGTAACTTAACAAAAAAACTAAAAATAGATAATGCGTTTCGATATAGTGTATTTCATTACGAGTGCGGAAAGCCTGTTATTGCAAAGAGTTTCTACAAATGTTTACCCGAGCGGGGGCGCAGTCGAAAGTGAGGGTTGCTAGTCGGAACAAGTTGCAATGACGGTTTCGCACGTGTACTGAACAACTATTTTTAATACAGTTGCGAAATAATGAAGCAATTTAATAAAGAACATTTTTGGAAAATGGCGCCAACCGTAAAAGAATATAAGCAGAGATTTTTTTGTTTTCTTCACGTATTCTGGGTAGGCAAAGGGAACTATGCCCATTCAGCCAAGTCTTCAGTAGAATTTTTTTATTGATATGAAATGAAAATTAAATTTAATGAGATGAAAATATTTGCATGAATCATAAAAACTTCTATGAAATTTTTTTTAGAAAAAACTTCGTGGTTTGTTTTTTTTCTTTTTAATAAATATTATTTTGACAGTTGGGAAAGAAAACGTACGAGTTCGGAAAGGGTAAAGAAAAAGCACGAGTGTGTAATAGCCCACATCCCGAACGCTATAAGTCCCTGCAATACGCCACTTTTTGAGCAACTGTATTAAAAAGCATTTCCTATTGATAATTAAAATTAATTACAACACTGGTGATTATGCCCATTATTACATATTAAATAAAAGTTAGGACTTTTTCATTTCTCTGGCAAACTCACGCAGTGTTTCTACAGTTGTCAAATCGTTGTAACACACTCATAGCTTAATGTCGACCTCACAGTGTTGCTTCCACGCTCTCCATCTTGCTTTTTTTCTACATAAGGATCAATCTTTCTAAAAGAAGGATTCACCCATTTAAATATTTTACTTATACCTTCTTTATACTCAAACATAAGTAGCGCCATCTTTCATAACACATACGAACTACAGTTTTAACAGTGGTAGAGCAACGCGGCAGCTTTTGCTGCCGCACGGATGGGCCAGCTCGAACCAGGGTGGTACCACGACCTCACTGAAAACCAGCGTGAAGTAGTGGTTTACCTCTTCGTTTCGCTTGGTGAGTGCAGGTGGCCGGAGGCCCTTTTTACTGGAAATGAGGCAATCCATCTTAGTCCTCACGGGTGACAACGCACCTACATTTTGAGTTGTAATAGAGGATAGATGTAGTCTATGGGCCGCCGTAACCACTTACCATCAGGTGGACTGTGTGCTCGTTTGTCACCCTTATCCTATAAAAAAAAACATGAGTGCCGCGTTGCATTTGTCAACGACGTAACCGGGGTTGGATTTCGTAGTATAATTTTACTATTTGTACCATTATTTCATACTGTGTAGTACGTAGTATCGTAATATTATAATACTACGCAAAAATACCATATCTTCAGGTCGGCTGACTTGTATTATTGGTGCGTCCTTTTACTTTTTAATATTTACCAAACAATATCGAAAATTTTCGTAAGTACGGTGTACTTCTCTGCCGTTGATATCAAGTGTGACAGTCTTGTCTTTTCTGTGTAAGACTTTATAAGGGCCCGTGTGTAGACGTATCCAAATCCTTAAACATGAATGAAGATGGTCGGACGTGATGATCAGCAGGGACGGGACGCACGGCTTCCATCCGCCATCATAGTTGAGCGACGAAATCAGTTACGTCAGGCGGAGAAACTGCGTTATCCGATGGTACGACAGATTGGCCAAATAAGCGAAGAGGTTCCCCATAAACAAGCTCGGCTGCTGAAGATTTCAGATCTTTAAGAGCCGACCTCATACCGAGAAAAACGTTAGGCAAGGCCTTCGACTATGACTCAATGTGGCACATCAGGCTGGTTAAGTTGACAATGTACTCGCTCGGTCATACCGTTAGCGCATGGATGATATCCCGTGGTACGTGCGCCTTAATGGCTCATAGATGCATGAGACACTGGAAAAGTTTTGACTTAAATTGGCGTCCCTGATTTGTAATGATGGCAGGAACGCCGAATCTAGAAATCCAACCTGTAATAAAGGTATCGGCAACTTCTTCCGCCGTCATTGAAGTCATCGGCCAAACCTCTGGCCACCGCGTGTACCGGTCTGTAGCGGTTCGGCAATAGGTGTGTCCATTTGAATAAGGAAGGGGGCCGACGATATCGATATGGACATGGCGAAATCGATCGGAAGGGCTACTAAACTGTTCTATAGGTGAGAAAATGTGTCTAGTTACCTTGCTGCGTTGACACTGACTTGGCCCAGCTGCGACAGTCCTTTCTTATTTGCGGCCAAACATCGTTCGGACACCAAACGTACGGATGCCCGCACATTAGGGTGACTGAGGTTATGGAGGCGATCAAATGTTTCCCGAAAGAAAGTTTTAGTCAGGAAAGTAGCGAGGTCGACCAGTTGAGATGTAACACCAAATGGTGATGTCTGTACCGGGAATACTCACCTTCTCTAATTTCAAGGAGGGTGAATTGCAATGCTCAGCAAGCTCAGGATCAGACTCCTGAGACTTTGATAATGCACTGTAATCTTCTTCAAGAGAAATGGACTCAATACGGGACAATATTGTCTTTCCCCTTAATATATTTAATGCTTGTGGTGAACTGGCTGATAAAAGACAACTGGTTAAGTTGGGTGGAGGGAGTTTCTCTCGCCACATTACGAAAGTGTACAGCAGCGGTTTGTGGTCTGTAAAGATTGTGGCATGCTGAACCTCAAAAATATGATTTCCATCACTTCGTATACCTCCAAAAGTTCTCGGTAATAGGCAGGCCATTCGGCTTGTCTAGGGAGTCAGTTTTTTAATGAAAAATGCCAGTGGCTGCCATTGACCATAGACTTGTTTTTGTAAACAAGAGCCGACGTAGACGCTAGAAATATCCGTGAAAAGGTCCAGTGGGGCGTTGGTCACAGGGTGCTGAAAGAGCATTAGATGGCATTAGATAGACTGTGCTTACAGGCGTCAAAAGCTTCGCGCAGCTCAGGCGTCCATGGGGATGGCTTTGCGACTTTGCTATTAGTGGCAACAGCGGATTCTATTAGTGGTGCTTGAAACTTTACAGCATGAGGTAGAACGACTAGTTAATCATACCAAGAAAACGCCTCATGCCATGCACGGTTTCAGAATGAGGAAATTCTAGAAGAGCCTGTACTCGGTCTTGAGGAGGGCGAGTGCTTTCTGGGCTAATGAGATGGCCTAAAAACACTATTTCTTGAGCACCCAGGACGCATTTGGATAGGTTAATAATAACTCCATATTCCTGAAAGCGTTTAAACAACATACGAAGGAGTTCCTTGTGAGTAGCTTCGTCTAGAGAGAAAATTAGTACATAGTCAATGTATGGAAAGCAGAAATCGAGACCCCGTGTGACCTGTGATAATGCGCTGTAAAGTCTGGCCAGCATTGCGCAAACCGAACGTCACAAAGGGAAATTAAAAGAGGCCAAACAGGGTAACGATGGCAGTCTTCGGAATATCGCCCTCAAAAACGGGAATCTGATGATAAGCTTTTATTAAGTCCATGGTACTAAAGATTTTTTCTCCAGAGAGACTGTGAGAGAAGTCATTAATGTGGCGCACTTGGGATCGGTCCGGTATAGTCCTACCATTAAGACCACGATAATCGCCACACGGACGCCATAAGCCATTTTTCTTGAGGAATATCTGTAAGGGGCATGTCCAAGAACTTTTAGAAGGTCAGGCTATACCACATTGCCGATGATCGCGACTGGCCTGCCTCTCTTGTTTGACTTCAATAGTGTTCCCTCTTAAACCTTGGTTTTCTTTCACAGAGTGTACTTCGCTGTTAATTCAGCAAAATGTATGTAACTAGTGTCCCTATACCTATAATCGGTATTTTAGGTTATTAGTATACATAAAATCACACAAAACATTAATAAAAGTTGCAAATACTAATGATGACGGGAATATCGCAAACAACTGTCCCCGACGAAAGCGACAGATAGAAGTAATTTGTTTATTCGCCGAGCAGTGACAGAAAAACCAAGGTTTAAGATGGATTTCGTTCTGGACTCCATAATGTTTACCCGTAACAAGTTTCGATTTGCTTCAGGCCTAACACCAAGCGTACTCATACGTTGAGATTTGAATTAGCCAGAAGTAATAAATCTTGTACTACGTATATCGCGAGAGTGCCAGTTACTATAGTTTCTTTGGCTAATAGATATACACACTCATTTCCTTTAATGCCATAGTAATCTGGGATTCATGCCAGAACCACCTGTGATCCTTTTTGATGACATTGGAATACTTGGAGCATTTCTAATATTAAAGGATTATTAAGGATTAATAAGGTTTCTAAATATTGAGCGAAAGGATTATGATGGATTTCCTGCTAGTTCTTCCCAGGACAAAGGTTTTTCGGAACCAGTGGTCAAAGTGGAAAAAAATTAGAGATTAAATGAGTATTCTAAATAACAATTTATATTGAATATCATATTTCTATTTTTACGGTATAATGCACGATTTTAGTGCATAATATAGACAATATATTACTTCCCTTCGTATTTTATTATTTACTTAACAACTACAGTTTCTAATAAAAAAAAATTATCACAGCAGCTGTCAACATACAGTATCTAATCTACAAAACAATAATAATATCACAACAAAACAATAATTTTATTATCTTAAATTATTTGAAGGTACTGAAATAATATAATCTAATGTTAGCAAGTATTTAAATACCAAGTATGAGCTGTGAGAAAGAACAAAATAATTGTAACTAATTACATTTTATATACTAAAGGATTCTCCACAACCACATGTGCCTTTTATATTTGGGTTGTTGAAAACAAATTCTGCGGAAAGTTTGTCTTCTACATAATCCATTTCAGTTCCTGAAAAGACGAAAGAATATAATGATGATTATGATACAAGATTTGGTACAAAATGTTAATATCTATACATATAAATAAAATTGAAGTGCCTGTCTTAAATAAGACTTCAGATCCAAGATAATGGATTTTTTTAAATAAGGTCTTATTTAAAAAAAAAAAATATTTAAATAAGGCCTTATTTAAAAAAAATCCATTACCTTTTAAACAAGGTATCTGGACCGGACGGGATGCCATCTAGTTTTATTAATCCTATGGAGATAAATTAGTCCTACGGAGAGAAACTCTTACATCCGATTCAGTTAATTTTCAGTAAGTATCTCAATAATATCGTATTTTTTGAGATCTGGAAATTGGCTTATGGGTTTGTTCGCGATCGATCCTTTATTACTAATTTGTTAATGCTGTGTTCCGCCTTTGCAAAACACAGCAAGTCGATGCCATTTAAGTTGATTTCTCGAAAGAATTTGATCATGTTAATCATGACCTTTTATTTTTAAAATTGAAAGTGAATGGCACTCATGGGGGGTTATTACGGTGAATTAAATCCTTTCGGAACGTAGTCAGATTGTCACTCTTAAATGGTATAGATCGTTACCTGTCAAAGTCCGTTCTGAAGTACTCCAAGAGTCCCACTCATGCCCCTTGTTTTAATAATTTATGTAAATCACCTAATTAAATACACTGAGTGCTCTTTTTCAATGTGCGCCGATGATTTAGAGATATATAAAACAATAAACAAAATAAATGGAATAATATTGTATTACAAAAGGATCTGCAAGTAGTGGCAAACTGTCAACTTAACTGTTAACTTTTTTATTTCTTACACTTAGTGCAAAACGAGTGCTCTTGGAGCAGATATTATTAAATAATATTTGCCATAGTCATCTTGATTGTAACTAGCTTATTAATAAATTAAGTCTTCGTATATCTAGTTGTTCAGAACGCATTCGAAATACTAATACTCAGTACCTATTTGAACCTAAAAAAATATCGGATAATCGCTAGTGACCAAGCCCCTTTGCGTCGCATTATAAAATCGCAGAATTAATATTTCACAGACATTGATATATTTAAGTTATCTCTCGCATCTTTTAAGAAACAAATTTCACGGAAACTTCCAGAAATCTAAATATCTATTTAACGTGGTAGAGCCATGCTGTAGCTATATCAGTAGTATAGTTGTAGCACGAATGGGTCGGCTCGACCGGGGAAGGACCACGCTCTCACAGAATACCAGCGCAAAGTCAAGTCGCTTGCGTGGCAACTGAGCCACGAGCGAGAGAGACTGAGACAATGATTAACTTAACTATTGACTCGCGATTGGCGAGTGAGCGGGCGAAATAATTATAATCCATACAAGTCAGATAGAGTTAAAAAAATAAGAAGTGTATCACTCAACTCGTACGGCTTTTCGCTGCCATTATGCATGCACGTAAAAATTACCACTGAGGCGCTTACGTATCAAATACTATACGTTCGTTTTTTGTATGTAACGTTTGCATCACAAATTATTAAAGTTGTATGGTTTGCTTTAACAAGTCGTCATTTTACGTTGATGCGGCAATTGTTTTTGTTTAAGTTCATTAGCGCCTGTTTACGAAAACATACCGAGTTCTGTTTAGGATTTCTTTGCGTAGTGACTATTGTGACTTACTTTCTTCCTTTGCATCATAAGGTTAGAGTTATGAGACTTTCCGAGAGAATTATGTGTACATAAACATTGTTGTTTTGTGTAAATGGACATTTTTAAATAATGAATTGACATAATGACATTTTTGTTAAAGTATGAAGAGATGATCGATTTTATATACAATCTTATTACGGTACACAATAAATAACCTAAGCACTTATATTATTCAGCATTGTTGCCACATAACATTTCACTGACTCAGTCAGTAATAAACGCCCGCGACGCAACTTAATGTATTCGGAACATTTTGTATTTTGTATCTTTTGAGACGATGAACCAAATGAGCCAAATGAAATTTATCAGTGTTTCGGAACTTTTCAGTGATCGAGATGCAAATGTTCCAATCGCAAAAATTATACACGTTGCCCACCTCCGCATTTCACATAGTATAGCGTCGCTCGTGTTACTGCACGCATGATAAAAATGTGGAAGTGTTTGTTAAAAATTGTAAAAATATTACGTTGAGAACGTTAAAAAGGATGGGATATCGTACTTTCGATAAGTAAAAGAGTTTATTGATTTGTTTTTGTTGTTTTTATGACTAAATATGGTGAGCAATCTGTGGTTTTGATTTAATTTGTTTAGAAATTTCACTCAACGGGCCAAGTAATATACGTCAAATTCTATGGTCGCTTTTTCAGTATAAGAACACTGCATTACAACCTCCTTTTATTTTAGTCGAAAAATACAAATGACCCTGTTCTTATTCAATGGAGTCGATTTTTACTATTGTTTAATACATTAATTAATAAGTTAATTAACTTTTATATTTTTTGCAGTGTAAATCATTCGCCTAAGGTTACTGCACGGGCAGCAATTTCAGCTAAATAAATCATTAGAACCTATTTCTTCGAGGATTTTCAGGGTCATGCGGTCACTGTTATCTCAACTGAGTATGTGAGAATGTTAAAAGAGTTTCTGTCATCACAGCTACAGGAATAGTTACAACCAGAATACATGGTTATAACAAGACGAAGCTACCTGCCACACTTCTAATGAGTTAAGGAGATGTTGTCGCAAAAACTGATTACAAAATTAATGGCCCACCCTATTAAATGCCATAAAAATGTTAAATAAAATCTTTTAGGTGTAAAAATTGAAACGAGTATTTCACTATAAATTATAGTCTTTGCGTTGTAGCATGGTGCGAATGACAGCTCACGCCTATGAAGATTCGTGTTTTTTTAGATAAAATGTCATACAGATATTGTTGTACTTTTTGGATGGGTACCGTCCACTTACGATAGTAATGTGCCACGCTAAACTCGGCTTTGAAATAAATCGAATATATAAAAATCACAAAAATATGTATTGGAATTGGAACTAATCGTTCAACAAATTCTGATTTACGGTAAAAAACGTACAGTCCCTGGCCAAATTATTAGACGCACTGTAGTTTTTTTAATAATTACATATTCTGCACGAGTTTATATGCAATACATTTTTTATATTTAAATATATATGTAATGTGTTTTTATTCAGGAGGTGTTTTATATATTTCCTATTTGTATTTATTTTAAATGTATTGCATTACAATGATAACCAAATGACACACGAACGTAAACAAGTAGAAATCTGTTTCAGTCGCGTTCTCGCGTGCTTTAGTTGTAGACGTGTTTCTGTGGCTTTATGCGCTGTGTTTATTTGTTTCGCTTTTTTATACCACGTAGTTATTTGTTCATTTAGTGTACAGTGGTCAAATAATCAATTGGAGCATTTTAATCATGGGTAAAAAAGGTGATCTTTCACCACGTAAAAAAGCTGAAGTAAAGGCCCTCGTAAATGCTAAATTATTTTCTAACCGCGAAATATCGCGGAGATTGAAGATTTCTGAAGCTAGTGTACGACGCATAAAGAAGAAAATTGAGTCAGGAGACGAATTGAGCCCGAAACGAAAGAAAAGATGCGACAGAAAGCCTATTTTTACTCCAAGGACAGAAAGATGTTTAAAGAAAATTTGTCTGGAAAACAGATTTGCAAGCACAAAACTGATAAAATCGCAACTCCAAGATGCTAATGTGCATGTTTCTGAGCACACTGTTTGAAGAAAATTAAAAGATTTAGATTTTAGGACCTGCCGTCCCGCCAGGAAGCCCAAGTTAACAGCTGCAATGAAAGCAAAGCGTCTGAAGTGGGCCAAACAGTGGCGAGATAAAGATGAGAACTTCTGGAGATCGGTAAGTTAGTATAATTTTATCACAAATGATATATTTAATATAATTTTCTATGAAATGAAGGATGTTTATTAATTTTTGCTATTCTTAACAGGTCTGCTTCAGCGATGAAAGCACGTTTGAAATTTTGCAGAATAAAGCTCTGTTTGTGCGTCGTCGTCATGGAGAAAAGTTTCATCCTGACTGTGTCGTTCAGACTGTTAGGCACCCTACAAAAGTGATGATCTGGTCAGTTATCAGCGGCAAGAGAACTGGACGTCTGTACGTGGTAAAAGATATAATGAGGCAGGATCAGTATAAAGAAGTCTTACAAAATCGATTGATTCCGCAGCTCAGAGAATGCTTTCCGAATGGGGAGCCATTTGGTTTTATGCAAGATGGAGTTCCCTGTCACACAGCACGGTCTGTTAAAGCTTTTTTGAAAGAACAAAATATCCCTCTGTTGGATTGGCCGGGTAATAGTCCCGATATGAATCCTATTGAAAACGTGTGGGGGCTGATGAAGAGAGAAGTGGCTAAAGATGTCATCACAAACAAAACTCAACTCTTAGAAAAGATTATTCATGTGTGGAATCATCATCCTCAAATGCAGGAGACAGTACAGTCTAACATTGATAGCATGCCGCGCAGAATTGAAGCTCTCATAGCGGCTAAAGGTGGCTCAACAAAATATTAACATTTTATTGCATTCATTCAAATTTTTTTCAAGAGCTCATAAATACATATTTTTTTTTATAATTATGATGTTTTATATGTGTTAAAAATAGATGATAAGGTGGATAATAATAAAATATACATTGTATATATTAAAAACAATAAAGCCGTATAGTATCACCTGATAATTAAGATTTTACATAGAATCATATAGTGCGTCTAATAATTTGGCCAGGGACTGTATATAGACAAATATGCAGTGTTTCCGATGCATAGACGATAAATTATGCGTTGCTCAGTTCAGGAAAAAAAATTATAAAGTAAATTGCGCATTGTGTCAAAAAGACTATCATAACTCATGGCGGCCAAAATGGTTACAAAAAACTTAGTTTTTATTTTATTAGATTTGTAAACCAAATTCTCGATTAATTTTACCTACCGTCCCGATATTTGGCCTATTGGACCTCGCAACACTAATACAC